CCGGCATTAGCTTCACTGTAACTGTTTAGACTAAAGACCTGATGGTGTTTTGTTACAAATGCCCTTACTGGAAGTGTCTTTCAGAGTAACAATTATTGACATGAAAACAACATATTGCTATAGACTGTTTTCCATGTCTTGTTATTTTAACAAAAACATTTTTATTTTAACATCAGTTTGATTCCTACCAATGTATTTTAGCAAGTGTGCCAAACTTGTACTTGTTATCATCATCAAGATGGCAACATTACAGAAATCAACACAGGCAAAAAACTAGCATGCAGAATTATAAGTACAGCACCTTTTCTTCAAGAGAAGAGACAGACAGTAACTGGGCTGAGGGGAAGCAAGCAGAGAAGTGACTATGACAATGCCATTTCCCCCACCTTCAAGTTCTTCCAAGATAACTCACTTGAAGATGAATTACTTGAAGATGGTTCCCCAAGAAATTGAAGACTTTAAACCTATTTATTTCTTTACAATATTAAAAAAAAGGAGCCTGATAAATTTGCACATACTCCTGACAAAACACGTACTCCACCTACTATGCCCTGGAAAGCCACGATGGTAGAAACAGCAAAGTAACATAAATTAATGAAAAGCTGGGCAGAGAAGTGTGACTCTCAGCCAGATTAAAGAAAAAAAAAAACAAACAACCCAGAACTTCTGGCATCATGTATGAAGAACAAAATAAGGTATCCTGTTTATTTTCATTTGGACAAATTAAAAGGAAGCTGGACCTATTTGATAAGTGTTTCTCATGCAGCCCATGTATTCATGGCTTCACTGAAAAATTTGTGTAGACTGTTGTAGAGAGCTGAAAGAATTCCAGCAAAACCTTAAGAAGTCCTACGTAATTTACCACTTCCCTCTTTGGAAGGGAAGACTAGAACTGTTCCTTCAGACCAGTTTCAAGTAAAGGGAATCATTTCATCAAATAAGAGAAATAAATTACGTTAGTTCTTTCCAGTGCAAACAAAAGCATCTGTAACAAGTCTGTGGATTTTTTTCCTTTCTATATCAGCAAAGCTTATCCCAGTACCTTTACTGCTTTTTACAGAATTGCTTTAAAACCACTCCTTAGCATTAAAATAATTCCTTAATTTGTTACTGAACACTCACACACTGATATTGTAACCCTGTGAGTGATAGTCTTTTTTATGAACACATCTGACTATAAATTGATAGCTTAATTTGATTTTTATAATTCAGTGTGATAACCTGAAGAATACCTCAATGCACTAAGTGAAGCTTTGGATCTAAACTACACTGTAGAATCTCTTCAACTTCACAGCACCAATATTAACCAGAATAGCTGAAGCATGGTTTTGTGAAAGTAGGAAATAAAAAACATTCCTTAGCATGGTATTTGATCTAAACACTTTTTATACATAATGAAGTATACTTTTAATGAATCGCGACCAGAATTTTAATTTACGGATCATTAACTTTGGAATGGCAGCAGTATGAGTATTTACACATTTTGAAGGCTGTACTAAGAAATGTTTTACAGGTCACACTCCTAAATATGTAAAAGCAGAATGTATATGGAGAAGCAAAAAGCTGAAGATCAGTTTCCTAAAGCTGTTAAGTTCTAAATTTCAAATAACATACTGAAAGCTTGTATTTTCCACCAAGAAAGCTACCTGTTACCCATACAGCTCTTTCGAATATGTCTTTTGATCTTATCGAACAATACTCCTAGGGACAAAAACCAAATCAAACTCGCATGTTGTGCAGAAACATCCTCCCACTCCCAATAGTCAGGGTTTTGGATCTTATTTTTGTTTTGTTGCAGGGGATTTTTTGATGGCGGTAGTTGTTTTTTTGTTGTGTTTTATTTTGGGAGGTTTTGTTGTTGTGGGTCTTTTTCCTTATCAGACAGCAGAAACAAGGAATAAATCTGCCCTGTCCAATTTTATCCACAGATGTAAAGTTTTCAAAATATTTCCAACTTACCTAAAGGATGAAGTGTATTATGGGTACATCATGTAAGTAGAAGCAAAGATATTCTTTATAAAGCTATTTTGCAAACTCAAAAGTATATATTGACACGTATAAACTAGAGGAAATTAAAGCATAATTCTATTTGAGATATAGTCACAATCACAATTTCTAGGATGCACGGTAACAGAAGAAAATGTAATGGAAGTTCTGTTCTTTATGGCCTAAATTAAATGCTTTACTCCTACTTCATGCAGAACATTAAAAGAATGTGGAAGAATTGGAAGGATTTTTATAATCTTGAGAACTCTGCATGGAGGCAATCCCCATTTCCTCCACACGGTTTAAATCGAGTAGTTAGTACAAACTTGGAGGACTATATAAAATGTGTTTAGTGCAGAATTACTTTTGTAAAGCATCAAGCAAAACAGTTTGAACAGTTTGAACCCAAATCTGTTTGGGTTCTTCCAGAATAACAGATGTAAATGATATAGCCTAGAAATTTGCCGGCCAGCTCCTGCAAAGAACACATCTACTACAACATCTATGCACAAATTCTGTTAGAATATAATAATTACAAGAACACTGGAACTCAATGCCTTTGAATTCAAAGCAGTAGTGTTTAGAAGTAATGCATTAGTAAAACAAGAAGAGAGCTTAGAGTCAAGAGAAGCAGGGAGAGCTCTACTTCATAAAATATATAATGCAGGTCCAAGTTGGAAGCATGATTTTAAAAGAGAAAAATCCTTAGTTTAGGAAAGCCATGAACAACCTCACACATCTAAAACTGACATTCCATGTTTTTATTGCATACCTTCTTTGTAGTTTATCTGCATGCCTACAACCCCCAATCTTATCGCAATCTTGAATATATTCTCTTACTATGTACCCTTGACATCTTCTGCAAGAAAGGAATAGTTGTCAGAAGCTATTGCTATTGCTCAGTAAGATTGCAACTGCAAGAGAAGGAGAAAGCTCAACACGCCCAGGGGAAAGGCACCAGATGGTGGACAGGAAACTACTGAACCAAAGCTAGGATTATTTGTATGTGCTATGTGTGATGTGATCAAAGTTTACTTGTTTTCCCTACCTAAATGCTCTCTTCCTCTAAAGGACTGAGAAGCAACTACCTTGGCTCTGAAGAAATCAGAATGGAAGGCACTCCCATGAAAAGAATGGAATCCTCTGCATGAAGATGTGTACTCTGAAGTAAAAGTGGTCACAAAGATTAAGCTTTGGAGAAAGATAAATGTATTCCTGATGCAGAAACAGCTGTTTCTACCAACATTAGCAGTAGAAAAAATGCCCTTATATCCACCTCCATTTTTAGCTCTTACGTGGGCAGTAAACAGAGTAACGCCATTGTGAACTGCAGCCTATCTGAATATTGTAAAGCACCTATAGCAGCAGCCAAACAAAAACTTGTTTGGAGGATTTAAGACAGGGATGTAATACAAAAATGTAGACAAGCTGATACTTCTGTATTGTGAACACCTAGTTAAAAAAAGGTTTTCCCCCTCTTGAAATACCCCAATCAGTACTTTTGGTACACATACCTCGAAGAATTCTCTCCTCATGGCAACGTAGAAAGTCCCAGATTCTAACAGTGCCGTCGTCAGAGCATGTAGCAAATTTATTATCCGTGGGTGAGAAACTGTTACATGAAGACACACAGCAGGGGAAAGAAGTCAGCATTTAACAGATTATCTATGCTTCTCAGACAGGGCAAAATTATACTGTAATGTGTTATACACTGAAGGATGCATTTGAACATAGGGACAGTGCCTGCCAAATGACACTTCATCACAAGGCATCAATTTAGCATAGGATTACTATTGCATTGCAGTCCCCTGTCAAATGAGGAAAAAATCCGGAATTTATTCTTAGCACCTTCCTATCTATGACTGCACACGGTAGCACCTTCTCTGCAGGATGAGAAGCAACATCAGTATGATTTGGTAACTGTCACCCTAGATTTTCATGTTTGGTAATACCATAAGAAAGTGACACTGTGTAGAAGCACAGGAGAACAGTTCTTAGGAAAAACTCCTCTTCAGCCACAGGTGCTTTGCAGCAGAGAAGCAAAAATAAGGGAAAGCTGGTCACAGGAAAATGCTAGTTGGATTAACTGTTGAAAAAATTGCATACAAAACAAGCGTACCACTTATCATAGAAGTAATTTGGAAAAAATCCCTCTTATTACACCCCATCAACACCATGAAAAGAATCCTACAGACATAGAAGAAGCTTCCAGACTGAGCAGTCACTATTGCTTGATGAAAGTCACTGGAAAAGCAAGGAGTTATTTAGCCATGGGATTAGGGCCAGGACATCTCCAGCAACTGACAGACACTCACTTCCTTTCTGGTGCAGTGAAAGACCATGAGGGAGCCCTTGTGAAATCCTAGACCTTTATGATCAGGAAAGGGCTTAAAATAGTAGAGAAATTCAGTGTATGGCCATGATAGTCAGACAGTAACTGAATCCAATGTAAGCACTTCTCATAACCAAACTCTGGCAGAAAATGCTGCACCCTATCAAAGAAAAATGGTGACTTTAGTGGAAAGCGGTTTTGTGGCAGTGAACCTTTATCAACAAGGGCCAGCACCTGAACCCGAAGAAACACTGCTTTAGCTTCATTTTTGATCTGCAGCTTCTCTTCAGGCTTACTTTAAAAACATTTCCAGATCTTACTAAAGATTATGTGCAGGTTTGCTTTAGAAACATCCTTCATTTACATCTTACTGATAGTATCACTTTAGATTCCATTTTTTATATAAATAGACATTTGCACAACTGAGGCATCAACACTGAACCAAGAGAATATCCTACAGTCTTCTTTTCAATGGCTTGCTTACAGTTTCAAGCTTGAAGAACCCATTCAGTATTAACATTAGACTTCTGTATGTGGCAGTCTGCGTGGGTATTTAGTATTACTGGAAGTCTTGGCTTCACCAAGCCAAGCAGTTCTTCACTTTATTTAGTGTTTTATTATTTTGTGAGAACTATGCAGGTGTTTTATTGCTGAAGGCTTTATATTTTATTCAGTTAAATTATTAAAGACTGAATTCTTTATTTGGAATGAAATTGTTGTCTTACACAGTGCGTATAAAAAGGAATAACTGATACACATCGTCACCATATAAAAATGAAAAGAATACCAGTGCAAAATGCGGCAGACAAATACATCTCTAACATATTGCAGAGGCGGATACTGGGACAATACTAATTCAGAAAGGTGCCAGCAAAACTGTGAGAATGTGGAAACAAAAGAAAATATTGTGTTTATGTGGTGCAGGAAGTTTCCCAGAATCTGACAGAACCCATGCATTTCTGCACCCAGAATACACTTAGAGAACAGTCTAATCATGGCAATAGGTACTACAGAAAATGGTATATTGTGTATAAACCTGGCCTCTCTAATCGCCTCCTTATGTGCCTGGAACATCTTGACGTTGTTCATGTTGGACTGCCAGTATTTCACATATCCCCCGTGGTCTGCTGTCAGCATCCACATATCATTGTGTGACCAAGTCATAGCCCTTACAGGGCTGTCGTGAGCCTGTAAATTCAGAAACAGAACTTCTAGCAAACATGTTCAAATACTATCTGACCCACACAAAAGTTAGTTAAGTTCCCTCCTAACAGCTGCAACAAAGAAATTAAAACAAATGATGATCTAGTTAGATTCAAGATGTTATTGTGGAAAAAAAATTCCCTTACTCTGTATACAATGGTGTTCTAAATAATAAATTAAGAGTATTTGCATTTTGTTTCCAAAGTGTTTCTTTATTATTACAAATACTCATAGTATGTTCTTGATAACAGTTAGTATATCATATGGAGATGGAATGAGAAGCATTAAATGAATTGCCTATAGCCACAGTCTGACATGGAATCAGAGCAAAATAAAAAAAACATAAAAGACCTCTAGGGCTCCCATTACCACATTTAGACCACAGACCCATGATGAGCAAGGTGAAGATGTGTTCCTAAAACATGCTCCGAGACCTCAAAGAAATACACAGAAATCTTTATAGATGAATTTACCTGCAATATAGTTTCAAAATTGAAAGTCAGTCCATTCCATAAAGTGAACTCTCCACTAGATGCACCAGTGACCAAGCGTCTCCCCTCAGGAGTCCACTGCAAAAGAAAAATTTAAATAAACTGTGCAAATATAATATTCAAAATATTTCTTCACAATCCTCCGATTAAATCATAAGCTTCTTCCAGGGAAGCTGCAGAACTGGAATTTACTAAATGACTTTCTAGAGGATGTTAGATAGACAAAAATGCAGAACTGTGCCAGAGGGCTTTTGACTTTTGCAACAGCAGGACAAAGGCCACTGTAAACAATGAAAAAAAATCTAGTCGTAGAAGAGAAACAGCTTATTGGCACCAATACATTTCTAGCACACAATAACCATATCAAACAATACTGCTGATATCACAGAAAAGTTGTTAAAAGATGCTGCAAGAGTCAAACAGCACAGAGACCAAACTGCCTTTTTTTTCTGTGAGTCGAAATATATTAGCCCCGCCAAATGAAAGAGCAAATGTGTACCTCAAACTCTGAGAGGAAGAATTATTTTGTATTCAGACTTTACCATTTAATTTCCTAGAACTCTCCACAGAAAGACTAGACACAGCAGTTGTCCATACATTCCACATGCTAGTTTTATTTGGAAATGCTTTAACCGTTATCCTGTTTCTTTCTTCAGTTAAGAATATCACTCTAATTTAAATTAAGACAACACAACTAAGAACTCCAACACTGTACTCACCCTGACAACAAACACTGGGCATTTTACTTTATTAGTAGATGTCCGAACAAATTTTGTTGTTACAGCATTCATAGGGTTGTTCAGCATTCCGATAGGAGGGACCAACTATGAGAAAAGAAACAAAAGATTTAATAATGACATTTCTAGCCAGAAACTGCAAGAAAAGCATGCATTCTGAACACCCATTTCTAGAAAAGCAAGTTTTTCATTTGCACGAATATTATCAGAATTAAGCTGGTAAAAGTGCTCAAAAGTCTGCATGATTTACCATCTCAAACATCCAGAACCAGCACCTTCAAGAGCAGCTTTGCAACCTCAGTGCATTATGAGAGTTCTTATGTCCAAAAATTAAAAGCCTATCCAATTTCATGTTCTCTTCGTGGGCATGGATTCCAACAGAACAAGATAATGCAGAGTGAAGATACCCTTCACATCTTTAAGGCCTCTTGTGGACAAAAAGATAACCACAGCTGACAGACAGAAACCTTTCTATTTTTCTGGTCAAATTTTATCCACAGAACTTCATCATGGAACAGAAAGATTTTACTTACGTCGTTATAATATCCTGCATCAGGCTGGATTGCTCGCATATCTCGCTGATCTCTCTGCCATACTCTATTCTAGAAAGAAGAAAACAACTCCTAGTTCATACCACTGCTATACTTTGTTATTACGCAGCAGAAAACAAGGAACATCTTGACAGCCTGTTTGGGAAATTCCAAAGCACTCCAAGGGTTTCAGAATGAACTCAGTTAAATGACTTTGGTCTCAGGAAACCTATAGAATTTGTACTGCATAAGCAAAAGATTCAAGAATGTTTAAAGTCTTAATTTCATCAGAATAAAGCAGCTCATTTAAAAACTGCAGCTTAACAATATGAAAGGAGCAGTTCTATGCAGTAAGCCGCATTATTGCAACAAAGATGATTGGTACTTTGCTGCCCAGGCTAATAGGTACTCTACAAAAAGCATGTTCAATCATTTCAAAAACTTTACATTCAGGATAAGCATTTATGCTCTTAGGATTTGTGTTGATGAACTCTAAGTGAAATCCCCCAGAGTGACACAAGCTAGAAAGGAAGCTTCTGTAGCTGAAGCATGAAGATAACAATGCATTCAAAGGGATAAAACTTAGAAGACCAAGGAATAAAAATGCCTTCAGTTAATTAAATTTTGTGAGCTGTCAAACACAGCCTTTTCAAAAACACTTTATACGAATCAAATGAAATTATTTCAGCTTTGTGCTGTAGACTTCACCAATTTGGATCTGTGTACATATCAGAAACATAAGCTAAAATTCTAGGTAAAACATTTCCAGCATACACTACTACAGTTTGCTAGAATTTCTTAAGCCAAGAGCAAATTAAACATACATCATTTTTCTCATTTTTTACAGAACCACATAAAATTAAATCAGTAGTATTGAAGCTGGGACTGAAATTGAATTCAGGTATATCCTAGATTTGTGTAAGCATGTAAAATATACAGATCTGATTTTTTGTTTTGTTTTAATAAAAAAGAGTTTCAGGATGCTTTATTTCTGCCACATTAAAAATTATCCTGAACAACTAATGTTATATTTTTAGAATTAGTGCACTACTAATAGAATCTGGTTTTGGGCATTCCTAAAATATAAGCATATGTTTTAAAGTTTGGTTTTTAAACAGATCTTAGAAGATTATTTAAATTTATTATTAAGAAAACCTTCCAATTGTTAACACCTACATGCTATAATCATGCACCAGCCAGAAGCAGCTTCAATGAATTTTGTCACGTTTTTGCAATGTTGCTGTTGAGATTCCAACAATTCCTGTATTTACAGATTTGATTCTATTCCTTCTGAGGTAATAGCCAGTAATTCTTCAGTAAATCTTGATCCTAAAATTGTATTTCTTAAGAAATTAATAGCTTCCCATCAAGAAAGCTAAATAAGCCTTTTTTCAGAAACATTTCTTCAGCAAAACTTTATTTACGTTGTTCTGTATCTATTAACTGTACAGAAAAGGACTTTCGGAGACCATAGTACAAGTTGCAGTCTTATTTAATAAAATTATGAGAAAACATTTTTATGGTGCCCTGGTTTTGGAGGGGAAAGGGTAATGGTTTATGTTCCATTGAGAAATTTCTACTTCAAAACAAAGATAAGAACAATTACATTATTTATAATGAGGTTTTATGTTCACTGAAAAGCCAGAACATCACACAAGACACTCAATCGAGCTCCAAGCTGGAATTCCAAGACAGAATGTAAAAATTGGTGCTTATACAAACTACAAAATCAGCTGCGTATATGTGCATTTTTATTACAAAGGACCAAACCTCTTTGTATTCATACTCATATTCAACACCAAATTTACAAGCATTTGTCACTTAGTTTGAAAATGCAGCCGTCATTTAGTTTGAAAATGCAGCAGTACATCTCCCATTATTCCAGACTGCTCTATGGACACTGAAAAGGACAATCATAAATTTCAGGAAGGAAACAAGTTTTTCAAAACAAAGCCAGAAAACTAACTAACCTCCAAATATTTAATTACAGAGGGATTGTAGTCTATGGTCTTTCGGTTCACAGCTTTTCTCATCCGCTTTCCATCAAAAGTAAGCTGTTGCATTGCTTGCTGCTGTGCAAAATCTGGTCTTTTGTAGAACAACTGCCGAGGCGCCTGGTGCTGGAACCTCGGCATATGGAAAAATCGGGGCGGTGAGCCAATTTCTGTGGCCATGGCTACCTTGTTTCTGAAAGACTGCAAAAAGCAAAACACCAGGTTACTCCATAATAATGGCAAAAATCCCGCATTAGTATCTCCACTAACTTAAGTTTGCAAGCATGAACAACAACCTCATAAAGCACTGTTTATTGGGAAGAAGTATTTGCAGGTTTCTCTGAACAGTTATTATTCTTTCCCTGTGCCACATAACACTGACATTGAAGTGGTTAAGTACTTTGTTCTTTATCAGGAGGAATTTTTGTATTGAACCAGATCACTATAAAGTTTGCATTACCATCCCTAAACTAGAACTGTGCAGGAAAAGAATGTCCTCAGTGAAAATAGTGTAAGTAAATGCAAGAAACAGTAAGACCCTTCAACAGAAGATGGTATTTCAGATTCAATAAACAACAGGAAACACCACATTAGTTACAAATTAATTTAACTACTAACAAGGGAAACATTTTAAAGGGATGCCCCAAAACCTTATTCTAGGACCTGAAAATGAAGTTACATTCCCTTTACATAATTTATAGTAAATACACCACAAATCACATTCTTCCCGTAGGTATACTTTCAATTCTGTTACTGCAAAATAAATGGATTACATCTTTGTCAACGCTTGATAAATGTAACCAAACATCACTTCCCGCCCAAGACCCACTGAGAATGTTAAGGAAATGTGAGGGGCAGGGAAAAACCCTCAATACTCAGATTTTTTCTGACAGAGGGAAATAAAACCTAAAAAATTATATACCCACTAATTTTTAAATTATTCTAAAACCTAATTTTTTCAGTCTGTAAAATCCTTAAGTGAGGAGATCCTATCAACCTCATCACAGCTGAAAACTACAATATACACTGTCTTTAAAGTATATACTAACTTCAGACTAAGCAGTGACACGCTCAAACTTAATTTTCAACTTGTACTCCCTGCCTCATCCTGAAGTCATACTTTGAAAAAAAAATTTTAAACTAAAATAGACTGGCACTGTCATCAAGGGAATGCAAAAAACCCTCCTTTGCATGAAGGCTGAAGTGTTTACATGAGTCAAAGTGTATTTATTAAAAAGAATGGAAATAAAACTGATAGAATTTTTTAAAAGTTGAAATAATCTCTTTGTAAATTCATGAATGTGCTTTCCTATTTAATCACATAATCAAGGTTAGAAAAGACCTTCAAGATCATCAAGTCCAGCTATTAACCCAACACCACCATGGCCCCTAAACCATGTCCTGAAGTGCCACGTCCACACGGTTTTTGAACATTTCCAGTGATGGTGACTCCACCACATCCCTGGGCAGCCTGTTCCAATGCTTGACCACACTCTCTGTAAAGAAATTTTTCCTAGTATCTAATCTAAACCTCCCCTGGTGCAACTTGAGGCCATTTCCCCTCGTCCTATCACTAGTTACTTGGGAGAAGAGACCAACAACATTTAGTTAAAATACTTGTTACTCGATTCAAAAAGAGTTCAAAAGTTGTTTCAACTGCCAGTCTTAAAACTTCATCTTGCTTTTTTGATCCCAATAATTGAAAAATGTTTCCATTTTTTGAAGAGCAAAATAAAGCTAAGATAGAAACGCTAGACGTAAATGAGGATTTAAATGTAGTGCATGGTTTGGTTCTTTTTAAGAGGTTCTTTATAATTACAAGCAGCAGGTTGCCCTTTAAATATCAGGCAGCTTTTTGGCACGGGGCAAGGATTAATCTTCACAGGTTTTGCAAACACGGAAGTCACACACTCCTTTCCACTGCTAACTGGAAGTGTGTAAGGACAGCTATAAAACAAGCCATTTATGACACCTGGCTGTTAGTGACACAAACAACTCTAATGTACATGGGGAAAAAAACTAAAGACATTACAATTATTCTCCACTCAAGTCCAAACTAAAATAGCATGTTTCCTTAAAGGTAAGGAAATTTAAGACCTTTGACAGGAACAGCATCTTCATATAAGTGGAGAGACCAGCTTTCAAATAAATACACCTTCATCTTGTGACTGAAAGGCTCATTTGCCCAAAAGCTGCCCAACACCAGGTGGTCTAGCAAGACACCATGTCTACCTCCAAATACGCCACATCCATACCATCATTTTAACTGCTACTACAACAACAACAAGCTTGTCTGAAACAAGAAAAAAGTATCAAAACTTTCTCATGCAGGAAGTACGCCAAGTACCCCAACACTATCTCAGATTCTCTTACAACTCAGCAGAAGGTAGCTAAATGTTGTACAGAAAGTTTCAGGTGTTAAATCTCAAAGGTAAAATTAAAAGGATAGTAGTGGTTTTATATAAAAAAAGAGAAAGCAAAGCAAGCTGGAATTAAAAATGCAAGTTCATTAATCAGGTCTTTTTAATGTAGTTTTAAGTTTATGCATTACTCAAGGAAAAAAAAAAAGAGAGTAATTCTAGACTTGAGAGAGATTGGTACTAAAGATACACATTCCTATACCAACAAGAGCTTTAAACCAGAGGGAAAAAAGATATTTTTCAGTGTCACGCATCTGTAATCTTATAGGCAATGCAAAAACAAATTTCAAGAACCAAGACCAAGAGTGCAAAGATATAGGCCAGATCTTCCAAAAGCACTTTGATCAGATATATTTGCAAAAAAAAAATTACATAAAAATGCCTTTTCAGAGAAACACTCCAAAGCAACAAGTTAATTAATCATTTATTCTCATCTTAAAAAAAAAATCCCCTGAAAATTTTTTTTTTCAGTTAAAAGCATAGATAAAGCATTAGCTATCATATGGATCAATTTAGATTGAACATACCCAAAACTATCACAAGCAGTGTCTATCTTAGATTAGCATAAACAACATTCCTTTAACATGCCATCACCATCAGCAAAAACTACTGTTTAAAAGGTGAACAAAGGCATAAACTTGTTAATTACACCTCTTCATGCCTACAGACCCTTCTAAATTCATGATTATTACAAGACAATATGAGATATCACTACTACATGACAAGGGAAACGACACAGCATTAGGAAAATGAAGGGTTTATGTTCTGTTTATATTCTAAGCTGCTTCTCAACTTTTGAGATCAAAGATTTTTGTCTATCCAGCTGCTCATGATAATTTTCTTCTAATAATGCCTCAAAATGTCATGCTTTTATCCATGTAATATCCTTATCCCCAAGACATGTTTGCGTACATCATATCTACGAAGGGGGTTTTGGTACAGATTCAGTTATCAGATGAAACTGGAGCACTTATTTCCAAAGACCTCTACTCCAGTCAGACAAATATACCCATTTAACATTTAAGTTACCAGTATCCTACTTTGTCTTTCGTTGGGACAAACCAGTGCCTCAACAGGCTCTCTTTTAGATCTTTTCTATCAGCTAAAAAAAAAGTGTCTGAATCCAGTGCGTCGATAGCTAAAGCTCCTGCTGTAATGGGAGAGCGAGTACAAACATGCAAACAGATATTAGAGGACAGTGTGTAATACAGAGTATCACAGTAATATCCAATTTCCTACTTTAAGCAAAGTACCAAACTTTGTTTTTAGAATCCATCAGCAAAGGTTTAAATGGAAAACTCAATTTTTTCCTTAATGCACAGAATTAGAAGCAACAGCAGGATTTTTTCCAATATCAAGCATAGATCAGCTCTTACTTTATTGTTTCTGGATAGTTATGTCACCAATTAATTGCTATTCTCTTCTAGTTCATTTATACTTTTATCACAATTTGAACTGTGAATTGAATTTTTGTATGCCATTCTTTCATGCATCCTTATTGTTTGCAACCGAAACATGACTTTTCAGAGAGCTGACTATCAGTTTCTCCTTTCTGTCCCCAAAAATAACTTCAAAGCTGATTAGCTTTCCCACGTTTGGGGAATTAAATGTATTCACGGATATACAGAGAATATGTAATGAATTTGCTGAGCAAAGGTAAGGCCATCCAGAAACACTGGCAGATAATTAACTGGGCCTATCTTTCAGCTAAGATGACAAAAGAAAGCCTGGAAAATGCAGTCAAATTGGGGAATAAATGTAGGCACATCTGACATGAAACTGAAGGCAGGAATAGGACCAGATGGACAAAAAAACCCAAAGACAAGTTAGAAGAAATACAATAAGAGTGGGAATAACTATAGAAGCAAACACACTAACTGAGGAGCAAGGTCAATCAAGAAAGAGACCATGTATAAGAAGCCTGACAAATAGACACAGGTTAAAAAAAAACAGAAAAATTAAAAATAATTTAGTTGAGAAAGAACTAGGCGGAAGAAACTGCACAACAGAACTCAAGAGCTTGTGATAGGACCCAAGATGTCCATCATTGTTTCTTAACTGTCAAATAAGCTTGCAACAGAGCAAGTCTTTTATTCGTTCTTAATGGTGCCATAAAGATGGCAGGTTTACTAATGCTATCGAGTAATCTGAGGGATATGGCTATAGAACACAGTTAAAAAATGAAAAAAACCCTAGGATGACCTTATACCCAGGGTGGCATGGTGTCACAAGACAGATGGATTTGTGGAGTTTGTTTGCTTTTTAAAACAAGAGAAAAGTCACATACAGTATTAACCCATTACAGAAAACATTTACCACTTAGATCATGTACTCAAATAAGGCTACAAAGATAACACCAGCACTTCACTCAGTAACATTATTACTTTAGCATCTTATTTGGGTACTTGCTGTTTCTTGAATATCAAAATGATTCTTGCAGTAAGTTTTGAAAATTGACAGATTTGGACTTTGCTGCCCAAAATCATGCAACCAAAGCAATTTGCACACAACTTCACTAAATCAAAATAAATTAGGCTACTCAAACCAAAATGAAAATACCGAAGCATCCTTCTACACTGGTTTAATCAGGTAAAGCTTAAAAAAAAAGTGTGTCATGGCTTATATTAAATCTGTCACTTCTTACAGATAGTTCAATACTAAAAGAAAAAAAACCACAACCTGATTTATGTATAATCTTGACAAATTTTATATGGTTTGCACAAAAAATAAAGATCATTAATGAAGTGAGGTAACTGGTATCTAAAACATGCTTG